TGCTGCCGGGCCCGCCGGCGGCTGCCCTCTGCCTGCCCCGCACACTCCGCGCATTGTTTGGGACTGTCGGGAAGACGCCTCGCACCTCACAAATCATTTAAGCACCTCAGTCTGACGCCTGCGGTCATTAACAAAGTAATCCATTAATCTTCAAAGTTTTGACACCCGAGAGCCCCGCATCCCAGCCACATAAGTTCTGCTAAGGCTGGAGGCAGGAGCAGAGGGAGAGGGGAGGTGAGACTGGGAGAAGAAAGAGAGAGGGAAGGAGGGAGGGAGGGAGAGGGGCCGAGAGAGAGAGAGAGGGAGAGAGAGAGAGAGAAGGAGAAGGAGAAGGAGAAGGAGAGAGGGGAGACACAGAAAAGAAAGGATTCATTTTGGGGTCTCCCCTCTTTTATTCCCCTTTCCTCCTCCCCCTTTTCTAAAACCAGTTCCTGGATCTCAGAAGTGATCCCTGTTTTCCTTCCTCTCTGTCTCTCCCTCTTTTCCTTTTTTCCTCTTCTCCCCTCTCCCCTTCCCGCTCACTTCTATCCTCCTCTCCCTCGCCAAACCCCTCCCGCATGCCCTCGCCCCCCTCCCAAAGCCCAGCTCGGAGTGCGCGCCCCCCGGACCCAGACCCCGGCCCATTGTTAGCCGGCTTTTCCAAGGCAGCTATGCATCTGGCTCCAGAAGGAAGCGGAAGACGGGAGGCGGCTCTCAAAGCTTCCCAACCTTCCTGTGCCATCAACTTTTCCAGAGGGGCTCGAGAAAGATAGATGCATGTGCCAAGCAAGACAACAACCCCAGGTCCATGTGTCCAAATCCCTGTAGCCAGGGCGGCGGCCAGCCAAAGCAATGCCACCCCGAGCAGGCTCCTGCGGCTCCTGGCATTCTGGGTTTCATACCCGTAGGGCTCGGGTGCGGTGAGTATTTCCGATTTCCAGGAAGTCTGTTGGAAGTTAGCAGCAGGGAGGGAGAAGGTGCTTGTTCCTCTCTCTCTCTCTCTCTCTCTCTCTCTTTTTTTTTCTTTTTCTTTTCCTCTCCTTCTTCTCCTGGTCCTTGTCGCTCCGACTGGGGGCTTGTGGGTTCAGAGGCAAAGCGTGCTCCCTGGCAGCCCCAACTGGCTCCCGCACCTTTCTGCTCCTTGGCCACCAGGGATGTTTGCACTGAGGTTCTGCTGTGGGAAACAAGCACCGCAGGTGAGAGAGGGCAACCTCAGGAGGAATTGTAAAGGTTCTCTTTTCTCGCTCTCTCTCTCTCTCTCTCTCTCTCTTTTTTTTTTCCCAATTCGGAGACTTGAGACTGAGGGCATCTTGGACTGGACTGTGCTGGAGGGTTCAAAAAGATAACACCTTTAGGTACCAAACAATAACTTTTAAAAAATCCACCAAGCCAGAAAGAGGGGAGGAGGCTGAGAGAAAAATCTGAAGGTATCTCTTTTCCCTCAAACCCTGAGGATGATGATTCGCTTTTGCTTCCTTTGAAATGGACCAAGTGATCAGACTCCCCCAGGCCGGCAGGCATCCGTGGCAGGAAAATAAATCATTCTGATGGCCAGGGAGAGAGAGGTTGGTGGGGGAGAAAAATCTACGTAGAAAACAAGAAAGGCTGACCACAGCACAAGGCTAGGGCTCCATTTCTGAGGCCAGCATCAAAGGGGGCTTGGGTGGAAATTAGATATAAAGTGGCCTCCATCATTGACTAGCCCAGAGCATCGCCTTACAGATAGGGATGCTATTTTGGAAAATGTGAGGTTTTTCAGTTTTCTTGCTTTTATTCCAAACAAAGCTCTGAAGGAAGTCTGGGTGCGATCAATCTTGCTCACCAAAAGCCTTGACAGCTTCTGGCCCTTAAGAACACATTTCAGCTTCGAGCTCTTTCCAAGATCAAATGTGGCCGAGCAAAGAGGAGAGCAGGAAACGCAAGTAAACAAGGAAAACTAGTCTTTTTAAAGATATCGTTTTGGCAGCAGGAAGAGTTATAAGCTGCTTTTAGGAAAGGTGCTTTTGCATATTCTGGGATAGTGGCTTTTGGCATTTGCTTTTACCAGAAATAATACTGAGGGGTTAAGGGGAGGGGGAGTTATGGCAAGGGAGAAGCGCTGCCCCCATATCGCTGAGGCTTTGTCAGGGGCTGCGTGGGTGAGAGCTTTCTGCTCGCCTCAGCAGCCTTAATTCAAATACCATCTGGAAGCAAACCCTTTTCTTTGGCCATTCAACATTGAAATCTTCCCCAAATCTATTACTTTAACTCAGGAATATTTTAATAACGACTTATTTTTAATATCTTTGAAGCTGGAGGTGAGACCAATATTTTCTCTTTGAAACCTAAAATGAATGTTTTGACTGCCAAGATATGGGGAATCGTATTGGAATCTCATTTAAAAATCTGTGCCCTGAGGGAAGGAGGTTGCCTCCAAACCACTCCCCTCTCAGCTAAACAGCAGATTTTAGAAACGGGTTCAAATAGTGGTATCTCTGAAAGATTTTCCTCTGTGAATGAATAGCGCTCGTTCGCTCGCTCTCGCTCTCTCTCTTGCACTCTCTCTCCAGTCTCCCTTATTTTACAAGGTAATTTTATATACTTCTGTAAAATTATTACTCATAAGAACACTTCTGTGGTTGTTTGGCCTGTTCAGTTCAGATCTGAACAACCAAAGAGCGGAAGCTCCACTTCTCACAAAGACTGGTTTTCCAGACTCTGCATTTCTGAAGTGCACCATATTTCGGCAGGGAGGTTGGAGTGGGGTGGGGAGCAAATCTACTCCTTCCATAGCCCAAACTCTTTAAAAATAAAAAATATATATGTGTGTGTATCAAGAGCCCCAGAACAGATGCGGGAGAAGCATCTCTGGCTGTGAGATAAACACCCAGATCTCTACAGCTGCCTGGCTTTGCATCTTCTAAGCCTTTTTCTTTTTCTTAAAATGTGAGAAGGTTCCCTAAAAGCAGCTCCTGTGAACCCAGGAGATACCCCAAAATGGCTCCAGTGCCTATTTCTAAAGATCATCTGAGGGAGCTTCTCAGGGGAAAGATAGAGGCCATGATGATGGATATTTGGGATCGCAAACAAAATGGCGACATTTTTCACCTCCGTCTCTGAAAGATACAATCCAGGGAGAAGGAGGATTTATTTCGCACATCAGATGCTTCTGATCCCGAGACGCAGGTGGTTTCTCACTTCCAGTTTAGAAAGGGGATGTTGATGGGGATACAGTTCTGAGGTTTTCACTTTCTGAATTTGGTTCCTTCTCCAAGCAATTCTTTAATTTGAAAACAAAAATATTTCCCTTTCCTGTGCCTGCTTTTGCATCTGCCAGCCAGTCAGTAGGCAGCCCTATCTTAAATCCAGGAGTAGAAATGTAATGTTTAGCTCCTGCAGCATCAAATGAAAGAAGTACTTTTAAAATTGCATTTTTATTAGAAAGATACCAATCTCCTTTCTCTCTTCTCCTCCCCCTGGGGCCATAAAAGGAGAGTGAGGAGGGATGAAGGAGAGGAAATAAATCCAGGGGATGCCAAATCCTAAATTCCGGGATGAAGACGAAGCTGGGACTCCAGCAGTCCAGGGAAGGGCGCGGGGAAGCTCCTGGGAGTTCAGCCTTTCTTTTGATCCCAGGGGCGATTTTAGGAGTCATTCTTTCCTCCTGGAGAGATCAGGGACCGAAGAGCATCCACAGAGAGTCCGGTTGCTCCAGAAAATGCTCGGCATCCTCCGCGCAGCTGATGATTCCCAAGGTTAAAGCACTGGCTGGTCCGCTTTGACCTGGAGGAAGATCTTGGAGAAGACAGCCCTGCCTTACTCCCCAGCGGGGCCTCTCGGGCACCTGTGAGTGCCCGCCGCGCTTCGGGCTGGCTGCCTTTTGTTTCTCCCGCACTCAGCAGTCCGCAGCCCCGGCGCCCGCGCAGGCCCCTCCTTGGCAGCTGGGAATCAGGCAGCCCAGCGGGCTGGCGCTCGGCGTTTCCAGAGCTGCTCGCCTCCAGGAGCTCCTGCAGCCTTCCCAAGAATTCGCTGTGCCCCCAGACGAACCGCCTGGCCAGGCCCCACTCCGGAGCTGGAAGGCTTGCCGCGGCCTGCTCAGCCAGTTCGCCTCTGCCTGAATTCCACGCAGACCCCCATCTTCGGCCAAAGAACCCCTTCTGAACACCGATATTATTCAGAATAAAAACTTTATTTATTTTTTTGTTTAGTTTCTCAGAATGTGAGCAGCAAGGAATGTAGAACTCTCAAAACAAATCTAGCATTTTTCACGTTTACAGATTTTTTTTTTCAGTTTCGCCGGATGTTACAAACCCAAATCACTGTTTTCAAAAGCTGGATCCTCTCTGGTATTATTGCATCATTACCGTTTTTATAAAGGAATTATATTTCCCTTTCAAATAAAAATTTTTCTATGTACGCCAATACACTATTGAACAAAAGGCCCAAGAAACCTTCTGAACAATCAGGGTACAGAATTTCTTTAATATAAATACGAACGGATGGGGATAAATAATATTTAAAACTTAGATTATTCAATGCTTGCAAAAAAAATATAAATAAATCTGACTGTTCACCAGCATACACACACGGAAAGACGTACACTTAGTCATCCTTGCACAGGGAGCCCCTGTTTCAAAGCGCCTTTGATTTTTTTCTCGCTCTTTACAAGAAGTGCAATTTAAAAGAAAAAAAAAACCCTAAAAATAAAAAAAAAAAAGAATTTGCTTCCCCTCGGGAGCCATAATGTACGAACAAATTCACATTGAAGAACTCGGCTAGAAAATTTGTTCATATACCCTGTTTCTGATCAAAGAGTAGAGAAGGTAAAGGATGCAGGGCCAGCGGCCGAGCGAGGGGTGGGAGGAGATAAACATCGCTACGGATAGACGGCCATTCCAGCAACCAAGATTGCTACGTCACATAGACTATTAAAACGCGTTACCAAAGAAAACAAAACGGGGTGGGGGGAAGGTAGAGGGGGCGGAGGAGAAAAAAGAGAGAGCAGGAAGAACCTTAAAACAAAACAAAATAAAAAGTAAACCGTAGAAGAACGGTGGGGGCGGGGGGACTCTCCTGGCGCGCAGCCCCGAGCCCACCATCACAGGTGGGTGAGTTTGGGGGCTTCCTGAATTCTTCCCTGAGAAGGATGGTGGGCGGTAAGGTCCGTGTAGGTGGGATGCGGCTCCCCTGGCCCGGGCCCGTGATGGTGGCCGCTGCCCAGCGGCCCAGCACCCCCGTAGTCCATGGCTGCCGAGGCGGCGTGGGGGAGGTGAGTTAGGCCAAAGAGGGCAGGCCCAGAGTTGCTCATGGGCTCCACATAGCTGCCCCCCACGAAGACGGGGCTTCCCTGTAAGTGTGGGGTCCCATAGCTGCCGTTGCCCTGCAGGCCGTGCGCGTGCGGGTCATAGTCGGGTGTACCCCCCGCCCCCGCCGCGGTGTAGCGCTTCTGTGGGGGCGGTGGGGGCGCGCAGCTTGGCAGGGGTGCGGGGTAGGAGGCGGGGGGCAGCCCATAGGCGCCCTGGGGAGGCTTGGAGAAAGGCGGGGGCGACTGGGGCTCATATGGGACGCTGTTGACCAGCGAATGCATAGAGTTCAGATAGCCGCCCGCGCCGGGGGGCACGGGGCTGCGACTTGGGGACTGGCCCCCTGATGACGTCAGCATGCCCTTGCCCTTCTGATCCTTCTTGTACTTCATGCGGCGATTCTGGAACCAGATTTTGATCTGGCGCTCCGTGAGGTTCAGTAGGTTGGCCATCTCCACCCGGCGCGGCCGGCACAGGTAGCGGTTGAAGTGGAATTCCTTCTCCAGCTCCACCAGCTGTGCGCTCGTGTAGGCGGTGCGCGCCCGTTTGGACGACGCCTGCCCAGGCGGGCTCTTGTCGCCAGCGCAGCTCTCCCCTGTGAGGACAGAGGAGAGAGCAAAGGAGAGAGGAAGAGAGCCATCAGGGGCTGCCCCAAGCCCCGCCTAACCCCTGACCCCGCCAGGCCCCTCCTTGCTCCAGGCCCCAAGATCCCTCTGTCAGTGCCCAGAAAAGAGGTTGAGGAACCAGGTGCTGCCCTCTCTCCTGGAAATAGTGCCAGTAGCTGGGTAGCTAGCCCCTCCATTCAGTCAAGTTGCAAGTCATAAGCTTCCCCAAGGGGGGAGAGGTAAGGACAGAAAAGCAGAACCCCCAGTTTGCCTTCCTGGTCTGTACTTCCGTCCGGGAACTATTCACTTTCTGAATCATTTACTGTTCCTTCAGGCCTATCAGACTACAAGCTCCCTGTGGGCAGGTCACCCATCTTCATTCCCTTCGCAGTAACTGGAATGTGGGGCACCTAATATACACTCAATAAACCTTTCCCTCTTCACTGACTGAAGGTTTGGACAGTTGCCTCAACTGGCCACTTATTTAGTCTACCCAGTGGAGAAGGGTGGACTGGAAGCCCCAATCTGGAAGGCCTTCTGTGCCCAAAGGAAGAGATCTCAATGAAAGTACCAATTTCTGGTGGGGTGACCCAGGCCCCTGATGCTGGGTCCTATTAATTAGCGTTCTTCATTTAATCAAGCAGCCTCCCCAATTTCATCCACTAATCTTGTGCCCTCCTATCCATCCCGCCTCCCAAATCTTGACTCTGGAGGATCCCAGATGCTCAGGCTCAGAGCAGGGTACTGGCAACTGGAGAAGGCAGGAGAAAAGGTAACGAAGATGCTGGGAAGCCCAAGACCCAGGGCCTGTCCTCCAGTCTAGTTCCTGGAGACCCATGTGGTTCCTATTAGCATAACAAGTCCAAATCCCCTCCCCCAGGAGGTCTCTGGCTGCCTTCACTGTACTAACTCTGGGTAGGGCCTTCCCAGAGGTAAGGCAGCCACTCCATCTACTGGAGCAAAAATTTAAAAATGGGCTCTGCTTATAAGCAAAGCGTTGATTCTTACTTGGATGGTGACTAGGCCTGCTTTTATTCTGCCACATTTCAGTGTGGAGTGGATGTCACGGTTTCATTAGAAATGAGGAGCTGTGCTAAAAAGAAAGGGGGGAGTTCAGGTTTGTTGTCCCCAAAGGTCCTAACTCCAAGAGTGGAATAAGAAGGAAGTCCAAACTCACTAAGGCCCCACTTGCTCTTGGAGAAGTCAAGAGAGACTCCCATCAGGTCTCTCTCTGGGGTTTCCTGGTCACACAGAGTCCTGTCACCTCCCTAGTTGAAGGGAGGGGGGCGCAGTGAATTCTTGAAACTGTTCCAGCGCTCGCAGACCGTGCTGGCTGTGGCTGGAGATGACTTGGGGGTGGGGGGGGGAGCCAGGCCAGAGGACCCTCCTCCAGAAGGCACTGCTTTACCTGAGCTGGAGCCGCTGGTTTTCTGCTTTGTGTTTTGCCGAGACTCTTTCATCCAGGGGAAGATTTGTTTGGCCACGGTGGGTGAGTTGAGTAGGGGGCTCTTGGCTGCGCTGGCGGGGGTGGGGTTGCTGCTGGCATTCTGAGGTGGGGAAACTGAAGAGGGGGGAGGGGGCGCGGCAGGAGCGGGTGCTGGCGGCTGCGGCGGGGCTTGAGGCTGCTGTGGAGCTGGGGGAGCAGCCTGGGGCGGCGGGGCCAGGGGTGGCTCGCCCAGGCCTGGGGGTTGGCTGGGCGGGCCGCTCAGGGTGCGCAGACACGCCTCGCTCAGCTCGTGCGCCTTGGGGTGGCCCCCGGCGCTGGCAGGCGACTGGAGTGAACAGGCGGGTCGGTGGTACTCGCCATCAGCGCCCAGTGCGGCGGACGCCGGGTACGGCTGCTGACTGGCATTATAAGCGAACCCGTTGGCTGCCTGGTAGGGGTAGCCACCGTAGATCGCGGAGCTGTCGTAGTAGGTCGCTTTTTGCATCGCGTTGTTTCACAATCTTGATCGCACACTCTGACAGGGGCTTGACACCCGTGAGGGCGCACATTGGCACGCCCCCGCGGTCACGTGACGCTCCGCCGCCAATGGCCGCCCCGCGCAGACCTGGGGGGCGAGAATCGCAGCGCGGTGAGGGCTCCGCGCAAATCCATCTTACTCTCAATAGCTAAGTGACATGAAAGCCATAAAAGAAAAAGTGGTCAGCAATATTTAGCAGCACGACTTGGCCCCGGGCGCAGAGAGCCGCGCTATAAAAAGCCGCTGGAATTTACTGGCAGCTACAAATATTTGCTTAACTTGCGTCTGGAGTTGGGGGGTTTTCCGGGGAGAGAGGAGGAGAGTAAGCGAGGGCTGGAAGCCGGGTCTCCAGAGCTGGAGTCCAAAAGAAGAAAGGCTGATGGGCTAGAAAGAAACAGGGCTGGGATCCTTCGTTTCCAGGGAAGGAGAAACTGGGGGTGTCCCTTCATCTCCGTTCTTTGGCCTCGTCCAGCGAGACCCGCGACTCCCTGCCTCTGAGGATCTTGGGGAAGGGGCAAGGGGGCAAAGGGGAGCGTAGGTTGCCAATCTGTTCTCCAGTCCTCCCTTTAGGACTGATATTTGGCAAAAGAGCCCTGACGCGGGGTGACTTCCCATCCAGCCCCGTCTTGGATCTTCCAGCACCCAGCAGAGGTATGCACAAAAAATTTTCAGGCAATTGCCCTACTCTACCCCGGATGGATTTGAGAAGCTGAGCTTGTTAGGCAGTTAATCTACCCTTGTGCTGAGATACGACCTACCTCTTCCAAATGGGCCCCTTGTGGCCAAGAAGGGGAGAGAAAAAACTCAAGAAACATCCTGTGTGGGAAGGGACCAACAACACTTCGCTCCAGCAAGTCAAACTCAAATCCTGGACAGTTCTTTACTCCTTTCCTCTCCTTATTTCTCAGGCATGACCCAGCAAGCCACTCCCACCTCTTTTCCCCTGTTACAGAAGGTCCCCAGACCCTCCTGCCTTGGACTTTCCGAGGTGCTGTTATTCAGGGCAACTATCAAATTCTACCTGTTAAAACATGATGGATTAGAGAAAAAAACAACCCACCAGGAACCTGAAAAACCAGCGTTCATCTCCATGACCACGGCTTGAACTCTCCTTCCAACTTAACGATAATAGGTTCTGTCTTAGAAACTGCTATGTAATTTGATGTATGGGGGTCATTTGGCTCCGGACGAGGGATGGAAGCACAAGCCATAAAATCCTGCCAGAGTTCCCTGATCTTTGTGTGCTGTTGTTGATATTTGTTACTTGGCCTATTTACCTGCTTCAGAAACACCAAGTAAAGGTCAACCCTGGAAATCTTAAAAGCAATGAAAGCCTTCTCAACCCCTTTTTAAAATTTATTATTTAGAAAGCAGTTTGCAGAAGTGAAATCTATGTTTTATTTTTGTTTTCAACCTTTGCATGGTCAATCTCTGGTTCTCAGCTGAGAAAAGTTCCATGTGAGTTCATACACACACACACACACACACACACACACAGGATGACAGTCTATTTAAGAAAAAAATGCAATGACAAATTCATGAAGAAAATGGTTTAGTTCATGCCCCAACTATGTATATTTGAGTCCTGGAGTCATTCACGTTCTCTAGGAATAGCAGACACTTTGTTAACTAGAAAACACCATCCACCAATGATGATTATAATTTTTTTAATAATGGGCTTCTTTGGATTTCATTATTAAACCAACAATCTGACCAACATCTGGAAAACAAGCACAGTTAATTTTCCAGAACCTCAATTAAAAATTACAGCTTCCCTTATCCGAAGTTACTGTGCGTGATCTTGAGCCCTGGAGTATTGTTTCTATTTTGGAAATAGATAGGAAGCTACAGATACCACAATCGAAAATAAATGAAGAATAAAATAAAATTTAAAACTGAATAGCAATTGAATGTCTCAGTTTCCTGTTCTTTCACTGAAAATAGGTCCTATTACATCTGGCAGTGTTAATGTCTGCCATTATACATTTTTAAGATACTAGGCTATTGTAAAATAAAATGCCAGGTTAAGAAAATTACTCCAGACACTTGAACAGCAAGATATTAGATACAACAAAATTAAGGTGATTTTGAACGTGCAACCTTTCAAGCGACTTGCTAATCCATTATCACAAGCTATATTGGCCTGCTACTTAAGTCTTTTCATCAAGTTGTGCATTGTCTTGCAAATAACAAAAATACCATGAAAAACCAAAGAGCATACAACAGCCCCCATAAACTTAAAATATGAATTCACCTCGGAGATCCCACCAAAGTCCTTCCTATTGTTTGAGGTCAGCAGACAACCACAATGGGGCCCACACATTTCCCCCCTCCCGCCCCCACCCCAGCCCCCGAAGTTTGCAACCTAGTAAAGAAGTTGGAGATCTGCCAGTCTGGAAACTTGCTTTGCACCCGCCCCCCCCCAACCAAGGGCTTGGGGTTGGGAGGAGATTCCTCCGAAAAGATCTGTTTCTGGACAATAACCCCCAGGTGCAGGAGCTGAAAGAGAGTTGAGGAGGCTAAACTGAGTGCAGAAAGCGAGCCCTATTGTCTTTCTGGAAGATCTGCCCAAATTCAACCTCCTTCCTTCAGACACCGCTCCCTCTTTCCACTCCCGCCCCTTCCTCAGCCTGCCCTCACCCCGAGTTTAAGCGGGAATATCGGGTAAGAGCCCCCGTGTCCCCTTACCCACCCCTCCCACCCTCCCCAAACCCAGAAAAGTTGGGGCTGGGCTAGGGGAAAGGGAAGAGGTGGGGGCGGGGATGGGAAAGCGGCCTGAACTCGAAGTGTAAGGGTATCAGTCACTGCCGGGAAGGAAGCTCCGGCTTGTGAACTCTTCTTGAACCGAGATTTAAGTCTGCAGCCATAAATCACCGAGACGTAAACTCCGCCATTCAGCGCTGAGAGCGGCCGGTTGTGGCCCTGCTTACCTTAACTTCTGACGAGCGCCGCGAGCGCAGGCTCGGGCTCGGGCTCGGGCTCGGGCTCCGGCCCCCGGCCCCCGGCCCGGCTCCCGGCCGCCCGGCCTGGTCCCCTAGGCGCAGGATGGGCACCGACCCTCAGCATCAGCCGAGACGGCGGGCGGGAGGGAGACCCCAAGGCCCGGACGCCGCGGCGCAGAGCGCGGTGGCTTCGCTGCTCCGGCACGGCTCGCCCAGGGCGGACTGGGGTGGCTTGGACCCCCCCTCCCACCCACCCCACCCACCCACCCACCCCTCCCCCACACCCCCGCCCCCTGCCCTTCCCGAGGGCAGCAGCCGCGGCCCGGAGATAAGCGCTAGCGCGGCGCAGGGCTCTGCCTGGGCTAGTGGCACCGACTTGGGTATGTTTCTTATGAATATTACACGCGGAGCAGCGTCTGGTCGGGGGGTGCGGTGGGGGGTGCTGGGGGCTGGCGGGAGGGGAGGCCGAGGCGGCTGGGGAAGCGCGGGGCGGCGTGGGGGATGGGGCTGAGGCGAGGGGAGGGACAGGAGCTAGAGGGGGAACTCGGCGGCGGCGGCGGCGGCGGGAGGAGGGCAGCCTCCCCCCAACCCCCAACGCCCTCCCTCTCCTCGCTTCTCGGCGTCACTAAAGTCCAGGAAAATTATGTTAATGAGGACAAACGGCTCTCACAAAGGGGCTCTCTAGCCGGGCTCTATTTCTTAGGAATCCATCTGAGAAACCATGTAACCCCTGCCCTGGACGCTTCCAGCTGGGGTGCAAAGGGAAAGAGAACCAGAAGGAGAGTTCCCCAGACTTTGGGCACCTTACCACATCTGTCACCCCCAATCTGAGAACCTCAAGGCCAATCTTTGGGGAGCAGAGGTAGAGCTTCCTTTCTCACGAGACCTCCCCAAGAGCCAACTGGGCTGTCTTTGGTTATATTTTTAGGCAGAAACCCTTACAATCCTGGCAGCCAGGAGGGAAGGAGCCTGGGGGAAATGGACAAAGTCCAGGCAGTGAAATGGGATGCTCTGGGCTCAGGTACACACCAGAGTGCCTAGAAACCTGGGTCTCCAGCTTTCCGGTGCCCACTTCCCAGTACGGACAGGCAGCTCATTCACAGGGAACGACAGATAAAACTCTGACCCCAACGCCAACAATGTCTATGTTTTCCTGGCTATTAGTGGTTTGCAGGGACGCTAAGCAGAGGAAAGGCCCGAGTGTGCCCAGTAGTATTGCCACAACTTTAAGGAGGGTGCTCTTCCTCCCTTCTAATGCCTCCCTCAACTCTCCAGATTCAGAAGTGAACCCTGCAAGGGTATGTGTGTGGCAAAAAGAGAAATGGAGCTTTCATGCAATTCCAAGGTGTCAACGGCCAGTCCTTCTCAAAGGAAGGTGTTAAAAATATAAGTAGTATGTTTAAACTGTCAGGGAGCCAAAGTGTCACCTTAGAGCAAAAACAAAGCCAAGGGAAAAGGGAGAAATCAAAAAGCACTCCTGGCCAGGGTGGCCTCATGCATACCAATGGTTTTTGTCATTTATGGCTGGGCAAGATTTATGACTCGGCGCCCCAAAGCTGTAAACAGAGCACAAAACAGCAAACACTTGCTCCTTATGGCATACTGCAGCAGCGCAACTTGAAAGGGGGAGCCGGGCAGCGTAGGAGGTGAGAGCCACCGCAAAAGTCCTCTCGGCTGCATTTTCTCTTCAAACCGGCCGGGTCGGATGTGGCATTTGAAGAAAGAAGGCGTGGGTCAATAATCAACCCGCACTTTCTCCTCCAAACTGCTGACGCGACTCTCACCGCCTTCTCAGCTAAGCCAGCTGCAGGGAAGGCCAGCTTTCCGTGAGAACCTGCCAGGGGAGGGGACCTCCTCGGCCAAGAGGGCCGAGGGCGCCGAGGTGAGGGCCGGGGCATCCAGGGCGCGTACCTTTTCAAAAGCGCCAAGACCAGGGCCGGGCAAAATGCTGGGACTGGACCCGAGGAGCCCCGGGAGCCAAGGGAAAGCTGGGGCCGGAGGTCGGGACAGGGTCTCTGCCGGTCC